ACAAGTGAGTATTATCTGCTAGTTTGACCACTCACGACCTACAGTGGTCTAAAACTCACTGGCGATATGACATGGAGAACCAAAACTAACTCGCAACAGAGTCACAAGGCTCGTGTTCGGGCTTCATGTTTAGGTTTTCCTCCCGCATACCCGCATTCGTGGGATTTTATGTGGTTGTTCATCCTCAAGGACAAGAAGAAGTTCAAGATGTTCAAGATGTCCAAAGTGGTTCGCCATCGTCAATGACGGTTCGTCATCGAGGGGTTTAAATGGGTTTGAGTTACGACGTTCGACAAAAGTAAAATCCCTTAAACAAAAGAAAGGGGCATGTGATGGTTGACACAATTATTGTCTACTATCGTCCTCATCACTCATTAGCTATGAGCTGTTTATCTGTGATGTCCGTTTAGTCTGTTGCTATAACTTACAACACTTTGTATTATGTTCTGAGTATCACAGCCATCCATGTATTTGATGTCTGGCGCCCGCCAGTCAACGACGGTGCGCGCCAGCCTGGCCTGGAGACTGCATGGACGAAACAAGACCACAGAGGACTGCACTTGTCTTACATGTGCTGGCTTTTTCGATTTTACCAAGCTCGATTTATTCGTTTTTCCCGACACGATCATTAGTCGGAAGTAAAAGACTACAGCAGGTCCGAATTTAGCCGACTAATCTGCCGTAGTCGGCTCCATCTTAAACTCGGTAATACAGCAATATACATGCTCGTCAGAGTTCAAGTCAAGATAACAAGTCCATCTTCTGGAGATGCTTATTCCACTACTGCACTCGTCACACTCATGATAACCTTTCCTAGTTGGGTAAGTTGGAGCCTGGACAGTCAACCGTTGGCTGTCAACCATATGGTTCAACCATAATGGTTGAGTCCGTCTCGTCGTTGGGAGTGAGTTCTCGGATTGTGGTTATTCGCCAATGGAAAATTTCCATGCAGTGTGGGTGTCAATGCGTCGACGATCTCAAAATGGTATTAATGTCTAGGAGGGTGATTGCATGTGTGTATGTCGTCTCTGTTAGAGAGATACAGTTGGGGCAAACGCGACGTGCGTTTGGAGGAGCACTCGCGGAACCTTCGTTCAGACGAGCTTGGCATAACGCCTCTGAAAATAAACAGAGGAAGAGAACTAGTAAGCGGCACTCATTCATCGCACGTAAGATGGCTAAGTTGAATATAAGTGTTGTGTATCTGGTCGTCTCAGGAGTAGGCTTGATTTTGACCTGACAGTGCCAGCTGTCAAGGCAGTATCGATCTGTTCTCGGAACCACTCGGGGTTGATTCGAGGTTGAGAGTTGAGTCACAGTCCCGGCTCCTCGTTGAACAGATGAATCGCGATGCGCGTTCCAATCTGCCCATAATCCACCGAGCACTTTTCTAGTGCGAAACACAACAAAGTGCACAATTGAAACTGCTAGTAGCAAACTCTTGCTAACCGTGATAGATTCGAGAAGAATTCGGGATGGCCAAGCCATGGGATCTTTGCACTGGTATAATGCCAGTGGCACTCCGGAGAAATTACAAAAACATACGATAGCTGAAGTAACTACCGATACCATTGGAGTAGGCTTGGAGTTAAAGACTATATTCCCCATTATCAATTACATTCGTGAGCATGAACTCCTCAGGAGTTACTCCTGCCAATCGGAGCGATGGGTCTTCACATCCTCCAAAGCAAGGGCTGGACTTACTTTTAGCTGTGGGCTAAATCGCGTTCCAGGCGTAAATGCTCATTGCGATCCATCATTTCCTCAATCTCACGAATCTGAAGAACGTGTATCGTCCCTTCGAACGGTCGTCAGCACAATGGATGGACCCCGACTGTTCTACTCTGAATAGACTACTCACCCTTTCCTCGACGGTCTGAAGGAGTTCCTTAGCGACTTCTAACTGCCTTCTGTAGTTGCTCGGCTTCCCCTCTTCTTCCCTCAGCTCGCTGTATCTGAATGCGGGCCGATCAGTGGCCAGGACTGAATGGAATCTACTTTATGTGAATGGGAATCATCCTTGATGGTACGCTACTAACTTGCTTGATAGCGCGGAGCCTTTCCTTCTCCCTTGCGACTTCCTAGGACCAACCAATGATCTCGTGACAATCTCCTCCCTCAGCATATCCAAATGGGAAAATGAGTTCTTACCTCTTCAACCGTCATGCCCTGCGGCTTCGGTCGTCCAAAAAACTCCCCGAAGACATGCTCAACGGTCGCGTCGGACCTAGAATGAACCCAAACGTTTAGCCAATCGCTTCTTGTGACACATCGTTCATTCAATAAACTTCATTGGTCTCATCAATGCTGCAAGGTAGGACGAGACACCACAGAAGATCATCGAAATAGATGTCAGGATACTCAGTTACTCACCCAGGAGCATAATCGGAACCGATCAACTTGAACTTTCCGTTCCTGCTACCCATGAAATATTGGGTAGAGTCGTTGGTGAATGTGGTGTCTCCATACTGCATAACATGACTAAGAGAAAGCAAACTTGACTGAGTGAATTCCTGCGGTCCAACCTGAAAGTGGTTTCGTTTTTGACCAGGTGACCTGGTCCAGGTCATATTGCTGCTCCAGAGTCTCATTGTAGCCAGTCGCGGAAAGGAAGTCTTCATTCTCCATCCAGTTTACAGAGAAAAGGTCTCCGAGACAGACGCGAAAAGATACGTTAGCAACCACAGCATGCTGAAGAAAGAACGGCCATCTATTTCGCCGACATGATGTGGGATGAGGATCAGAATCACTCCTACTGGAAAACAGTACGTTCCAATACTTGACTCCTGTGCATTGGAAGCTGTGACGTAATATCTGCCAAATATGAGAAGTCATGCGCTCCCGGTTTCGCAGACGAACGGCATGCCCCAGTATGGCACCCTTACTGGCCCGGAATAGGAGGACTCCCCGCGAACAAACTGCCAGCTTCACATGCCTCGACATAGAACACCAACTGTTTATACCTGAATGATATTTTGTGTGTCGTGCGAATGACTGTGGAATTGCAAGCCACATCTTTTTCTTCCCCATGGTCGTCAACCACGATTGAAGTTGTGCTTCAGTTATTTTCTCAGCTGGGAGGTAAATCGTACTCGCTGAGGAAGAATCACTCAGATAATCTCAATGATGCTTCGAGAATAATCTCACTATCGCCGTGACCCACAAAAAAGATGAAGACGTAATCGTTCTCGGTGCTTTCCAGAACTTTCCCCGATGCTAGCGACTTATCGCCGGTTAGAACCTGCAATACTGTTGAAGGTTCCTGCTATTATTGTTGCTGCATGTGAAAAGTAACCATTCTTGCTATGATATCGCAGCAATAGCAAGAATGATTTCGAGGCTGAAGGAAGCATATCTTGTGTAGGATAACTTATCCTGGATAAGAGATGGACTCGCATTCAACGATACTCACTCCTTGTACGTTTTTGACCGTGACCGCCTCGCCACTATAGTCTATCTCGCAACCTTCATAGACATCAACGCCAGGGCGGGTACCTTAAAGTGAGGGCTCATGGGCTCCTTAGGTGACGAACGAGCCCACCCGTTGGTTTGTTAAATAGTTGTCCCTTGAAAGGGTTATAACGGTGATTGACAGCATCGTTATACCTGGAGATGACAGGAGAGACCACGGCTGCCACCAGTGCGCTAAGGAGGTCTCTCTTACGATAAAGTGATGATGTGCTCCTTGGGTACACCATTCCCTCTGAGAATCTGATACGCATGACATAAGTCAGCTTGATGTCGGTAGTTCTTATAAGTGTTGGAACCGGCGATGAGGACCTGAGCAGTCACACAATATATACTGTTCCCGTTACTTGTCTCTCAAATGATATGATGATTCCCTCAATCACTGCACTCACAGCCCAGTGGTTTGCAGGTATATCGTTGTCGACAGATACATTCTTGTCCTGAGACAGTGAGTAGCCGATTGATAAGATAGCGGAGAACAGCATAATGAGAGTGTAGTGACGGGTCATGATGCAGGAAAAAGTTATTCTTTGGAGAGTCACCAAAACGACTATAATAGTAATTAAACTGCAACCCGACGAGGTTACCCAACTTCGGAGACGTCACGCATCCAGAGTTGATCCTTCGGCATCAGGCCGTAGGTTGAAAGACACCAATAGACTATTGGCAGTAGTCTCTATGGCAAATATTAAGGTTGTTTCAGGGGCTTACTCGATGGAATAAGTTAGACACGTGCGACTCTTTTAGACTTGTGACGTGTGACACGTGTCGCGTGGAATTGAATTGCCCTTCACTCACATACGATCAGCGTCAAACACGAACTGTGTAGATCACATGTTTAACGCATTATAGCACGTGTTGTGGGTCCAGTTTGCCTGCACCCTCGTTATCTCATCAAATCTTCGCCTTCCTATTCATAACGAATGATCCAAATATCGAGTACTGTGCTGCCAAGTGTGTACATTCGTACAGAACTCAAGTGCAGGTAGTGCGCTTATCGTTATTGTCCTAGGGTCGTAGTATTGGTTGCTCTAGCTCGAGTTCTCTTGTGTTGTTTTAGAGTTCATCAACTGATACCGCGACATACGTGGTTGATGTCCGGACCGGACAGTCCGGTGCCTCATGTCGTTCCCTTGTGTAAACACGACCCGACATTAGCTTGAGAGATACGAACCAAGGGTACACTGAGACCTTGAGCCAAATAGCTACGGACTCAAGAGCTAGTAACGCTCAATGCTTCAGATCAATAGTACGCATGTATCCTGTCCTCACACTCTTGTACGCAAGGGTACAAGAGTACGCAAGCTCTTCTTGTGCTTGCCAAGCACGAGGAGAATGTCTAAACGCATGTACAAAGAGGTGACGCTCTCTGCCGTGCAGGCTGGTCGAGCATCAATAACGGTCGGGTCGATTCGGTAGAACGAGGATTCATTCCGATCAGGTCCGATGAAACGACCAAAACGTGACGGTTGAAGTTAACGGTTGACAACCGTTAACGGATCAATTGTGAGTGAGGTCAATTATACCCGTAACCTATGACGAGAGTCCACGAGCACTAGGTTATGACGATAAACCTCAAGATATCCGAAAGTTTTGCAAGAGAATACTTCACTGAGATACTTGAAATGTTTTTCTAGAGATTTCTCGAGAGCTCCTCGACGAGGAGCTCGGCCGTGCCAGACTTGGATTTGACAATGTCAACTGGACATTGACGTTCTTCTTGGCCGTGACACTGTCACGACATGTGTGCGTGTGTCACGCACGACGTGTAGCACACGTGTCATGCGTTTCGTAACCCGGAACCTCGAGGAGTTCCGCGTGTAGGTATCTTGGTTCGATTGTGGTGTGGTCTAGAACGGACCAGCTTTCCAAGTGTAATGCTACACTCACAAAACTGAGATTGGTATCCCTGATATGGAGTAGCATTACAGGACTGTTTCCGGTAGGTTGCCCAACTTAATCGATGCTCGGCCGCCTTCTCCAACTCGTACTTCTCGGTGGTGTCCTAGCCCGCGCGCCCGATGACTCATATTCCAAGACCGTGGCTAAACTTTATTGATATATACATTGAATTTGTTACACTTCCAGACAGTGCTCGAAGAGTGGAGATCACTTCCTCCAGTGGATTGAGTGTCAGACCAGCTAAGGCGACCTATTCTGCTCATAAGCAGTGGATGTGCTCTACAAGATACGTATCATGGATATGGGGGCCTGGCTCCCAAATCCATGCGCCAATGTCCATGCGCCATGGCTCCCAATGTCCAGTTGCGTGGAAACTTCGACAACTTATTTCGTCGACGACGCCCCTGAAACAGTCTCAATATTTGCCATGGAGACTATCGGTATCTTCCAACCTACGACCTGATGGTGAAGCATTGGAAGCGAGTCAGGTTCCGAACCTGGAGGCTTGGGAGTACTTTGTCATACGGCAAGTACTCTGGGGTCCTTCAGGACATGCTTACACCTGAATTAGGTGTTTGGTTATACGCTCTTATAATCTTCATGTCAAATAAGGAGCGAAGAGACTTAAGATAGAGAACCTCCCGGATTCGATCGGGTTTCAACAGCCAGGGTCATAACTATCACGAAGTTCTTGAGAATACTGTTCGGACTTGGGATGTGAGCTGCTTCATCCTCCGCCTCGGAAACATTCACAGAGACCTTCAGAAACTGCTGGCCGTCATCCACTTGTAGTTTTAGCTTCCGAATCTTGTGTGTCTCACTAGCCTCGTGTACACTGTACATCTATGCGAACGGCAGCCGGAGTCAGATTTGCGTTGGACTACAACGGTTGTAGTGCCAGATCGTCAACTCTGGCTCCAGTGATCCTCTAGTTATACTAACTATTTACTAAACCAGGGGAGTTTTGATAGAGTTAGTCGACTAGGTGGTGTGGAGAGGACCGAAGACTTGCAGGGCTCCCCCCTGAAGCTTCGGTCACGAGACAGGTGCCCGACTAAGTGGTGTCGTATCAACGACTCACGTCTCACACGGGTCTGTCCCGTCACCCAGTCCACTAAAAGAAAAAAAAACTGTCAGTTACTAATATCTATCCTTCAGAATCCTCGGATTATTGAAGCACCTACGAGCGACCGAGCTCGCTCGCCCGTCGAATCACTTCCTCTGGAGTTGACCCTAGCCTCTGGCGAGACTTTCCATCAATACAATACAGAGAACCAAACACTTCCCATTTTTCCTCCAAAGCGGGTTTGACTCCACCGGCTGGGGACCTCATACCGTCTCCGCACCACATATTCTTCAACACTGGTCTTGCCAAACATAACATCAGGTTAGCAAACAAAAGTTATGAATTATCTTATCATGAATTCCCAGACTGCTGAAAAAATTTAGGGAAAAACCAAATCGAATTCGTGCTGTCATGGGAGCGTTGCTGACAGCATTTTGCTGTCTTGATTAATCAGCATGTATCAGATATGCTAAAGCGATCCTTTCGCGAATCGTACATCGGTGCTTGTCACCCACACCGTCAATACTGGTTCTGTTGAGAAGTGCAATCATGGCACTGCAATCACGACGAGGCTGACTATGATGTCAATGACCGCAATTTCCCCTACAAATTACACCAGCTGAGTCACTGACGCTTGACCCTTCCTCCAATAATCTCACAGAAAAGTCAACTGGTGGAGCTCAACAGCACAATGAGTCGAGTTTCTGAGCTACAACGGATAATATTATCGTGCATACATTGCGTCATTGTCAAACACTCGAGTGTATATTAGGTCAACCACAGAGTATCATGTGACGATATCAAGGTCGCGAAGGTACTCATCATTTTCTTTCGGATGGAGGAAATCCTTACCGTAGCTTCGTTCAAGCAGATCTTCCACATCTGCAAAAGTATCGAATTTTCTGCCATTTATGGACACTTCCCGTAGCGGCCATATTTGTTCCTCACTCATCCGATACCCATCGTATGGCACATGTCTGTACAACTTCCCTGATCGATGGTAAGGTTTATCACCGTAGTATGGTACCAACGGATAAATATCAACGTAACCACAAGACCGTTCAGAGCTGCAAGGCGTGGCGTTATAGACGTCATAAAGATTCGCAGCAAGAGGATGGAAAGGTGCGATGCAAACCCGAATGAGGTCATCGGTAAATGC